TAGTCCAATCCTTGAACACTAAGCGGTAATCTTTCATTCTTTTCAACTCTCACAACCCTTCTCCCTGATCCCCACTCCATTCTACCTTTGCAATCCATCCTTCCCTTTCCCCTCCTACCCAGTGTGTGCAAAAAGTCGTAATTCGTCTCTTGACATCTTCTATTTGTCTGAACTGGTCTAATTCAGTTTTTGTGTCCAACCATCTGCGTGTGAGTTCAAAGTGTAATTGCTGCTGAATCTGTTTTGTAATCTCCGCGCGCTCCACCCGTACCCTTTCCATGACCAGGGTACATCTTTGCCACCAAAGTGCCCATATCACTTCCCTCCTCCCCAATCTGTACATGTTCCCTATGAAGGCCGAAGTTGTTCCTGCCGACAACCAATGTCCTGCCAATATGGCTTACCATGACCAGGGTCAAGGGATGTCTAGTTCCATTTTTCGCCATATGCGGTCCCACCACCTCCATATATATTGAGCGATTGGACATTGCATAAATATATGTTCAATGGTTTTTGCCTTCTTGTGGGAGGGGACGAGACTCTGACACCGCTGGCACCACGGACGCAACATGCCTTTTTGTTCGAGGTTTGTGCGGTCAGTTAACCAGTCGTTGGTTGGCAGGCAGTGGTGGGCTATCTGCCACAACAGGGAGGTGATTTTCATGGGCTTATGTTTTATTCTTTAAACCATTGGATCGGTGACAGAAGAGCCTGATCCACATTTAGATGTCTGGCCCATCGATCATTAATCATATCCCTTAGATGTTGTTTAAGTCTGAGCATTTTATAAACTGATTTGACCAAAAGCTGGTGCAAGCTAATGTGTCTTGTCCTAGTAGGGGCCCCCCTCTTTTGGGGGGGCTGCCAAACCCATTCCACTGGGTCCAGAGCCAGATCCTGGATTGGTTTGTTTGGCTGGAACGCCACCCTCTGTCCCTTCTCTTCAATGACTTTCACTCGGTGCACTGATGCTCTGTCTCTCCATTCCAAGGGTGCTCTACTCCCTTGGAGGGTGCTTGTATTGGTGATGACATAGGACTCGACTAAGACTGTTTGGGGCGACACCATATGTATCAAACCAACCCTTAACGGGGCCTCCGTGCTTGCCACCCAATCCCCTTCTCTCCGTGTTTGAGGATTCAGTACCATTCCAGTGGGACGACTTCAATAAGATTTTCAAGAAGTTCCTCTACGTGATGGCAATATCTCAATGCTCGCAGCTGATCCCCTATTTTCAAGTCTTGTCTTTCATTGTCCCACAGATCCCCTACCCTAAGTATACCGTGTTTAACCCAGTTCTTCCAGGGTAGTGATGAGCTCGCCATAACACAGCCCCTCGTGTCTGTCACCCATGTGACGCGCTAACCTCACACCCTGTGCTGTCTTCCGTTCGAAGTGTTAGCTGTACGGAAAAGAGGCCCAGAAAAACAGCAAGATGGGGTGTGCCAAGGATTTTTGGAAATTGAGTATGGGGACACAGACGAAACTGAAATCCCACATGTTGGTCCGATGGAGCAAGTCGATCGTTTTCGCCCGTCGCGGAATGCGCGCGCGGGCAAGGCGGGAAGAGAGGGAAAGATCCAAATTCAATCCAAAAAGTATTGTCGTGCCTCCCACCGGGCTACAGCCCGTCGGTTAGAACAAAAAGGCTTAGGCACGCTTCCCATGTCCCGTTTTCGTATCAAGTCTCGTCGTCGTTCGCTGGTTAGTTCGGAGTCTGACGTGGAGGGTCTCAGTCGCGTGGCTCTTTCTTTATACTCGTCTTCAGTCCGCACACGGTAGTGGAAACCCCTGGACTCGTAGCGCTCAAAACGCTGACATTCGGTGCACAGAGTGCGCGGCCAGTGGGGTTCTACTGTCGTCCACGGAATGACGATCAACTCGTTAAATGGCAACAATACCGAGTAAGGTGGGAAGTGCATATCGATAATAACAAACCCGGCTTCTACGAACCCAGAACAGCGGTTGGCTGGAGGGAAGTAATACTGCCCGCCGATTTGTGCAATGGCTTCTCGTACGTCCCACTCACATACACGTGTCATTTCCTCACTGTAAGGAAAAGGTCGCGTTGGGATGGGAGATAGGGGAGGTTGGCGCCCAATCGAAGGGTACTTGTCAGTCCACATGTCAATCAATCACAAAATATCTTGAAACGTCATTAAGAACAAAAGCGATTCGCGTGTCCCCCAATCAATCTTTTTGACACAAGAGAGAGAGCAAACACAGATCAGCTTGATCACGCATATGGCTACGGGTCCGATCAGTTCAACACAACG